CCGTCACGGTTAAATTACTTATTATTTCGGGTCCGAAAAATTAGTAAATATTCTTCAGACGTTCTAAAGTAAAGGTGAACAGCGTTTTTCTTAAAAATATCACTGTTACGTAATAAAAAAAAAATCCGGAAAGTTCTCGCTTCGTGATTTGTTCAATACTTCGAACGCGGCTCGAGTCCGTCCGAACCATCTGTCAAAGCCTCGTGCTGCGGGTTCTCGTACTTCGCGCCGCCACCTCTCATTGGTCAGTGTTTTTCGTTACTAACTCGTAAACAGAGCCGCAGATTGCATTTTCGCAAAGGAAAAAGTTACTTCAAATGACCTCAGCTACCCCTCATTTTCGGCTGTTAAAGTAATTGTGGAACACCCTGTATACTTATCATTCATTATTTTAATCTAGAGATAAGTAGTGTTTTTATATTCGTTTGCCAAGAGACGTATTTGTATTACATTACAAACTCATGGAAACCTTGGTACATATATGTAAAGTAATTCCATGTATGTACAGTGAACTGTTACCCATACATTTCTTAATGTATTTTACTTCTTTATCACTTCAAAGTCTATCTCAGTATATTTTGTAGTTTTATAAATTCAGTTTACAGTTTACATTACTTATGTATGCATTAACTTCGATATTATTGCTTAATTAATAAGTGTTTAATAGAGAATGTAAACTTAATGATAATACTATAGATTACAGACGACTTCTTTTTGTTCTAAATGGCTTGAAAATGAAAAAAAAAGTTGTTGTTGATCTTCTATGGAATGTATTTTTCACGCTATCGAAAATGAAACTATTGGGTTTGTTCAATGAAATAAAAAATTTTTTTTACTTGGAATGAAGTTTAATCTGTAATGTATTTTCCATTTTGTTCGATGACCTTTTGCTATCTCTCCGACAACTTGAAAATTCCACGCTCGTAGAAAGTCTGATCCTTTTCGGCCAAAAACTGAGTTAAGTGAGATTTTACAGCGTCATCATCATTAAAAGTTTTACCACGAAGGGAGTTGTCCAGGGATCGAAATAAGTGGTAATCCGATGGCGCGAGATCAGGGCTATATGGTGGGTGTAACATCAATTCCCAAGCAATATCCATCAATTTTTGCCGAGTGGACAAAGACGTGTGCGGCCTAGCATTGTCCTGGTGGAAAATGACACCTTTACGATTGACCAATACTGGTCGCTTTTCCTTGACCGCTGCATTCAATTTAACCAGTTGCTAACATTCACGGATAATAAAAAATAACATAATAATAATAATAATAATTTTATAATATAACATTTACGGACGTCATAAAAATGGGAGTGAGAGACATCTGTAACTGAAATCGGCAATTACTTAGTTGCCAACCCAATATATACTTTCAAATATTTTAAATATTTCTGATTAGCGATAAGTTTTGCGCTTGCGATGCATACCTAATGAATTATTTCTTTAATTATAGAGCGATTCCTTTATTCGTAGAAGATCAATGTGTATAAAATGATCAACTAAAATCAAATGAATGTGTAACTTATGCAAAAGTATAGTCGATACTATACTACTTGTAGGTATCAGATTTTATGATACATTAAATATTTTGTACAAAAGGATAGGTTCTAATGAGTGATGAACGAACGATGACTCGTCGGCTATACTTTATGGATTTGTGTGTTTTGCTACTAATTACAAGAAGACACTGATTAAAATAATATTAAAGTAGCCTGTTTTGTGTGCGAGCATCGGTGAACACTCGAGGGGAACAGAGAAATATTGAAAAACGTTCACCGTCTTTAGTCGCCTAAAAACCCACCGTGGACAAATCGATGTCTACACTTTCTTTACTGTATCACAAATGGAAATTGACTTTATTCTTTCCTCTAATAACAAATACTGTCACGATAAATACAATATATTTAAAGGAAAACAATAAATTAAAGATTATGACGATATATCTTTGAATTCGCAATATTTATGGAAATTACTTTATTCGACACAAATAGACTTTTAACTACCATTAAAAACAATGTTAATCTTGTTTGTTTTTAAATAAAATTTAGAAATCGTTTACATAACATTATTATGACCGTAAATGTACATCCTGATTTAAACAGTTTCTCTTGGATATACAATATGTAGGATGTATACAAATGCATATCACATGAATTCTGTACAATAGTACATACACACGATTCGATAAATAGATCTATATATATTCTAATTAAAAAGTACTTGAGTCTTACACGACTAAAATAATTAAGTGTATAGCATAACACGTTTTAATGATTATACATTACAATTTTAACAATCCGCAGATACAGGTTATGC